ATCAACATATGAATAACCGAGGAAGAAGAAGAAAATATATCCTTTATTTGATGTCCCTAGGGGAAATGTTTGTTTCACTTCTTTTTTTATACACACACAACACAGCTGAATGCACACTTAGTGACATGGTGACATGCAAGGGGAGGAGATGGTGGAGTGATGGGGCCTCCGCGTTACCAGCGGCCCCATGGCAGGTTTCGGGGTTAGGTTTGCCATTGCTCAAGGCCCTCGGCAGTTGCACAGGGGGTAAAAACTGGCACCGTCTCCCAGCTACCAGTCCACACTCCATATTTGTGGTCTGTGGTCGTGGAAAGGTCCCTACACACTGAGCAACTGTAATAACATTCTTGGATTAAAAGTACATGATTTGTCAATAAATGCATGGTCATCCGTTTCCCTGCATTTTACGGCATTACAGATAGCACTATTCTCCAACATGAGCCATTTTTACACATGCACACTCTGCAGTTTCTTGTATATGCACAACAAATGTAATGCAGTCTTCCTTCACAGCCTGAATATTTAGACTATTGGGCACAAAAGCAAGCTACGCCGTTTCTCTGGCAGCTGGTGTGGAGTATTACAGGTCTGAGCGCTGTGTTTGTATCTTTGCGGTTTACTGAGTTACATCATAAGGTGAGCACACCATACAAATGTGTTTGATCACCTCTGCTATTGTTCAATTAAGAAACACACAGAGGCCTACAATTGGGAACAACCAAACCAAAAGGACTAAGACTCAGTCAGGGTCAGATTGAGACCAAGTGATAGAGAACGGAACAGCACGGGAAGTTCTCTTGGTTTTATTCAGCTTTTCAATATCTAGGGCTGGCTCTGGAAGGGTGAATGAAAAGGGTAGAGGGAGTGAAGAAGGAAAGTGCTGGGTGGATTGGGATAAATTTACATAGGAGATCAGGGTTTTTCCAAATCTTGTAATCTCTTCGGTAAATGTTATACATAAACAAGAAACACCCTTCTTACAGATTGCATACTCGTTGCACACTGACTATAATTTCAAATATGATTTGGTTTCACCTTCATTCTCATGTCAAGGCAAAAATATTTTTGCGCTTCAACGCTGGATCTTGTTTCTCTATTATGTTTCTTGATGTGTGAAAGTTTAGTTTTTAGGTTTAAAAAAGGAATTATGGTATGTTTTGAAGGCAGGTATTCTTTGACTGTCTCTGTGGCCAGTTTCATGCTTTTCTTCCCACCATAGCTTACGTTCGGTTTTAAATCAGACTTAAGGTACTTCAAATTTTTCTTTTTATTCTACGATTGTCTTGGTTTAAGGGGGAAATTTAATAATTCCATTTACATCCACCTCTGTCTGTCAGTTCAGCAAGTTCACAGCAGTGACAGAAATGATTCTCATTTGTTTGTGTGAAGATAAGATTATATGAATATAGAAACCAATAGATTCACAAAGAAACTCAACTTTTGCTTGATAATGAAACGAACTAACTAGGTATAAATTACATAGACGAAAGAAATGAAATGGTAGTGGCTGGATGCTGTTACGACGTATATGAATGGCATGCAATTACTTGTGATTACAGTCCTGTTTATCATTCTTATCTTCTTTGAGGAGGGTTTTCTATCGGAATCTCTTGGAAGGCTTCTGGGTATCCCAATATCATGACTGTGTAGAAAATAACAAGATATATATGAGACAATGGTTGGGTGAAAGGATCATTGATCCAACCAAATAATGTCTAGTAAAGACAGTATGTCATTCTCGTGGTATAGACCAGTGCAGAAAACATTGAATTCTTTTTGCCTCTATTTGAAGAATTCTCCACAAGAAACTATTAAAAATTAAACAACTACCTTTGCTGATCCTGGTCACAACATCGCATAACAACCCCCTTTAGTGATAGAAGCTGTTATGATGTTTAATATTGGTGGAATAAATCGGTCAAGCTGGAAAGATTTGATTAGATGATAGATAGTAGATAGTAGATGATAGATAGATAAGTAGATAGATAGTAGATAGATAGACTGATAGATGATCGATAGATAGATAGATACATTTTATCCGAGGGAATTCAAGTTATCAGTGCATACAAGACATACATTACATACAATAAACATACATTAAACATACATTAAAATAAAATTAAAAACACAATTAAAAGTAAAATTAACTTATAACACAGTAGCTACAGTAAACAGTGCAAAAAAGTAAGCAGTGCAATGGAGTGCAAATGGAAGTAAACAGTGCAAATGGATGTAAACAGTGCAAATGGATGTGCA